AGTTCGATGGTCTTGTACTTCGCCTTCAGCTTGTCGAGGACGCTCTTGCTGGATGAGCAGTAGGGGCAGTAGGACTTGGAGAAGACGACTAGATTGTTTTATTTGGTCTTGGGTTAGAGGCGCGGCTTTTTATTATCTGGGCCCCGGGGGAGGGAGTTGAACTTACCGACGGCATTTTCGTTGATGATGCCCTGGGCTTTAATCTTAGCGGCAGACATGGCGGCTGGTGTGGGACCGGCGAAGGACCCGAAGAGACGAGAGAAGATGGAAGAAATGGTGGGCAACTGGGTTCTCCGATGGAGAGGATATTGGAGGGGGAGATTGGAGGGGTGGAATAGGGTTTATATACAGTTATACTTTATTGTTGCTTGCGATTTCCCGCGGTTGACTAATTTGTCCGGGAAATGATGTTAGTCCCAGATTATGTAAGATGACTGGGCGATGATGTCGATCCGGACCTCAGGCTCACTTTTAGTACTACTTTCTGAATACTTAGGTACTCATAGGGTATGATGTCTATTACTACCGATCAATTCTAAAATACTGATGGTTTGTTTGTATATAGATATACTTGGGATATCAGTTCAAGTAAAAAACTGCTGGTCAATTGCTTCAATAGCTCTCTCGACCCTCGCTCGGATCGGATGCAAGTCGCGGGAAACTGATGCTGGGTGTTTTTAATGCAAAGGAAATGAAACAGAGACAAGGAAACGGGAATAAACCTCAACTGTACGGTCAAATTAGTCAAATCGAAAGAGAATCGAAGGAATGCATCGTGAAGTCGTTATCAGAAGTACCCCCGGCTGCTTCACTTGTATACGACCCGGGGGATCACGGCTCTTGACCTGGGAGCTTGCAGAGACCACGAGTCAATAGTATTCTTTGGATTGACATGAAAGGAAATACGAAGTACAACAGACACAGGGGAATCATGCAAGGAGCGACTAGCCACAACGCAAGAAATTGGAAAATCCGGATGGAGCGACAATAAAATGGGCAGGAAATTAAAAAGGTCCTAAAAGCAGAGAGCACTGGTGATCAACAACAACCAACCTGACACGCTAACCGAAGGAATAAAATGCGAAACAGGGGTAAGAATTCCGAGGAAAAATTAAGAATAAGTCGCCATCAAAATGACGAATCGCTTGGGAGCGAAGTACGAGGTGAAACATCACATCACAATGCAACATCCGCAACTCTTCTCCTTTGGCGGCGGTGGCTCTGCCGTCACAACGGGCGGACTCCATTTGGGTGTCAATGCCGCTTGGGGAGCCGCTTGGGAAGGTTCTTGCAGTTTGGGCATAGGACTATACCCAGTGCCTGTATTTGGTCGGGTGATCGGGTCTGGGGTCTTCGGTGCGCTTGGTGGTTCGGGCTGGGGCTGCGAAGGCGTTGGCTCTTGCTTTTCCCCTGGATCCTCCACCTTCTCAATACTCTCCACAGGCCTTGGACCATCATGACCAACCGCTAATGGAGCAAACTCGCGATCATACGTAGTTGGTGTCTTGCCCTCTTTCTCCCACTCCTCTTGCTGCATCCGTTTCGCATGAGTGGGCAGCATTTGCTGATCTGGGGGTAGACGCGGGTCTGGCTTGTACATGGTCGCCAGCCACGGGGGGTCCCCTTCAGGGCGGTTGACAGCAGTTTTCGGACGGTCACCCGGTTTTCCCTGACGCTGGGAATTGTTATTGGACGTAGTACGACTTCGGGGAGGAGGCCTCCTTGTTGATGCAGGAGCGGATGTTTTCCGAGTCCCAGTGCCAGCCGCACCCTTAGCGGGCGTCTTCTTGGCTGCGTTAATCTGGGCTTGGACACCCCGGCTGGCAGGCCGGCTCCCAGCAGCCGGAGGCGAGGCATTTTTCGAATCTACCGTGATAGGCTCACTAGCCCTGCGAGGCATACCAAATGACAGGGTCTCCTCGTCACTAATGGTATTCGCACGCGAACGGTTCAAAGGCGCGGTACTAGCAGTGGGAATGGGGATTCGAGACGAGCTCTTACGAAGAGCAGGGTTGTGGTATATGCTAGATGCGCCGTCGTCCGCCGCGATCTCCTCAGGCTTGCGAAGGTCCCAGTTGCCGCGTGTGTCATTATCAAGACCTGTCGGGGAGCCAGTGATCTCTCGTTGACCTTCCAGGTTTGGCCAGGGCTCCATTTGTTCTATCGGCGGTGTTGTAACCTCATTGTGGTGCATATCAAGATTTCTTCCACGCCCGGACCTAATACTCCCTGATCCTACTCGGCGCTGGAAGAGGATCTGCTGCAGCTCTTCACTTTCGATTTTCGCTAGCTTGTCACGATGGATCCAGTTTGTATCGTCTGCGTCTTCCGGGTATGGTCCAGCACCCTCTTTCAGTTCACTCTTCCTTAGAGATCCATTATATGTATCCTCCGAGTTCCTGACATTGCCAATGCTGCGACTCATCGCATCCTGTCCATAGACATCTCGCGAGCTCCCAGCTTCGCTTCCCCGCCGGCCATGGCTAACATCTCTTCGTCCTCGAGCACTCATATATCCTAACTCATGTGCGTAGGCATGCTTTGACAGTGAGGAGCTACGGGATCCCCTAGAATTACGTCTTGATCGGTTGGTGGACTCGTATGAAGACCGGGACTTAGAACGACGAACGGTACTCTACCGAAGATTTAAGGTTAGCTGATCGTAGACCTACAAGGGAGAGTGGCGGGGGCTTTCTATCTCAAGAATGCACCAAGGCCGAGGCCGGCGGACAAACATGGGCCAAATGAGACTTACATTTGGTGTAAGCGGGACTGAAAACTCCCACTGGTGCTGGTTTGAATCTACACCGGACGACAACCAAACATCTGAAGAAAATGCTGCCGCTGCCGCTCCCGCCATTCCAACAGCAATGAAATTAACTCAAAGAAACAAGGCCAGTCCAGCTGGAACCAAGTTGAGGGTACAGGTGTACTTGTCTGGTGAGATTAAAGAGAATGAATTCGCTAGATTTCTCCCCGATCATGCCATCCCAATGCATGCAGAACCTTAAGCACCAGCCACCGGGCACCTTTGCCTCAAGATCACAAAGTGCAAGCCGAGCAGCGGGTTCGGCTCAAAGTTGGGAGGTGGTCCGGAAGGGTGCTGGGGACGCTGCGGGCAGTTGCTCGGCCGGTGGGAGAGGGGAAAAAAAAAGGGGAAGTAAGGAAGCGGCCCGAAAGAGTTATGAGTAAATAGGGGACCGGCGGAGAATATGTCGAGGATTGGGGCTGAAGCAATAGTTGAACGGATACCGGCGGTGACAGTACGCAGTACCGTGGATGCGTTTCGGTTCAGGGAGCGGGATCAGCCAACAATTGACGACGATGGTAGATGGCACAAGATCCCCAAGTCAGTGCACAGTATAGAGTCCCGTGTAATATTGCAGACAGAATTAATCTCCAGCAGGGAAGACAATCAAAGAAAGAGGGAAATGACAGTCGCACGGGGAAGGGGGGCGTAACCCGTCGAGGGGCGAAGAGAAAGCTGGAAAATGAGGGGAAGAAGCAAAGGAAAAATTAGGAACAAAAAAGGAGTGCGAGCGAACCAGAGTGTGGCTGGACTGTGGCGCCTGCAAGGTCAGTTCAAGGACGCGCACGAAATGCAAATCGTAGAGAGCAAAAGAAAATAATAATAATAATAATTATAATAATAAAAGAATATGGTCAAGAAAAGGGGACGAGAAATAGATGGTGAATCAAATTATTATTAGGACGAAAGTAGTAGTAGGTATGGAACTCAAGACCCTCTACATAGAACGAGAGTCGGGGAGACAAATGAAGAACAAATGGAATGAACGGGGAGGGAAGGGGGAGAAGAAGGGGCGGAGAACAAAAAACTACAGAGAAGAAAGAGAACGATTGCGATGGGGCACGCTATCACTCTGTCGGAGCTTAGTTACCTTTTGGCGGGTGTCGACTAAGGTTCTTTAGCCTAACGACTAGTCACCATGCCAGGTCCCCAGCCGAAACAGCCTAGACCTTCCAAGGTCAAATGTCTGTCAACCCCGGTGTCAATTTACATCTGGTAAGGTTTACTGGGTACCTAACGGGTACTTCCTCAGTATATCATGATTCATGATGGGCGATATGGAGGTCTTGGAGCACCTCGAGTCCCAGCCATGTGCTCCCTCATCGGCACTAGGGCCTCGCAGGTGATCTCTCACAAAACCGTTTCCACTTGCGTCGTCGGCTGTGCCCCCTTTTATCCACTGCCAGACCATCCGTGCATTCGGTTGCCTCACTTCGGTAAAAGCAGTTCTGCATCATTCCCTGCCCTCCGTACTCCGTACCGACGATCGGTAGCCGATAAAGTACTCCAGGATCGATCAATCAGAAACTTCAATTAGAGTTATAACTCTTTGTCTGCAAAGTACTAATTTTCATGGCCAGATGTGGTATTCAATATCTCAGCGGCACAGATGCACAGGTCCTTCCAATTTTAGTCATGGACATTGGTTGTATGTACCGATGTATGTATACGGAGTATGCCGAAGTACTCCGGAGGAGACGATGTGGCTGAGATCTAATGACCTTCCCCAGGTGCATCGGATCCACCTTCAAATCTCCTTGCTGAATCCATTCACTAATTAACACAATGTGACCGTCCTCAAACCAAGAGCAGTTCATGAAGTATTCCGAGGGGACACCCTTGTGCTACCCCACCAGATTGCTTATACCACGGACTGTGATGGTCCCAATCAAGAATCTTACTGGTTCTTCCGTGGCTTTACAAGAAATGATCACCGACCAATAGACTTTTGGCCTGGGACCAGTCAACAAGAAGTGTTGACTCTAAACTTTCGGCAAAGCCTGGATGTGAGACAGCCTTGTGAGAAGACTGGAACCTCCAAGGATTTTACATTTAACCCTAAGTTGAGCATGAGGAACGCCTAATTAGGTTTCTGCACGTGAGATCTCATTATCCAAAGACGAAAGCGATATGCCCGGGATGAGTTGACTTGCAGAAGAGGCTAACTCTATTGGACTTCAAAAAGATCCATTGCCACAGCATAAACACTCCTCATTGATCATCTAGCTTAGGCCCACGTGGCCTTTGTCTAGTAGTAATTTGATTACGATCGACAGTATCTAATCATACATCACTGGAAGATCAGAATAAGTGCTAAAGGCTATGTAGGATCTTCCAGATACACAACCCAAAGGGGTAAGTGCCATGGAAGGAACCATCATGATGCATTTAATGCGCACTGTAGTATGGTAGTATGACGCGGATTCTATATTCATATCAAGCAACAATATCTGCCAATATGTTCATGACATATACAATGATGGATGAGGACATCAAGTGATTAGCTATAAACTTGGTAACATAAAAAATGTACAGCAAACATCGAACCGGTGAGGCGCTAGCCAATCATGCCTTTGCTTGATCCAGTTTGGTGAGGGTGGACTGCGCTTCCTTGACCAGTGCCTTGCGCGCGTTTCGAGCGTCGACGTTCCCATCGGGCTCAATGCCATCTGCCCTAAGAATCACTTGCGCCAGAATCGTCTCGCTCAACTTCGCATGCTCAAATTCACGCGACTTAGGATCGGTCGGGGTATTGGCAATATATTCATCGCAAAGTGGCAGCAGCTCTCTTTGAAAGTATGCTGAAAGTGCCTGTGCTTGTTCAAGTGGGGTGCTGAAGGCTTTGAGGTTGGGAGCTTGCGCTGGCAGCGTCGATCTGCTGGGGGATGCAGAGGGTTTCTGGTCGGTGGGCCGCGCGAGAGTGTCAGCGCCATCCTTGTTCTTTCTCTTATTCTTGTTCTTCTTGTTCTTATTCCGGTTGCGAATCCTCTTTGGCCGGGGCGCATCATCCGCAGGCGCCGAGTCGCTGGCCTTATCCTCCGCGTCGGACCCCTCGCTAGGGGTGCTCTCTCCAACCTCCGATACCACGCATAGCACCTCCGACTGTTGTTTGAGCCCCTCATCCCGACAGGATAGGTCATCGTCGTCCAAAAGCTTGCCCTTGTAGAGTAGCTTGACCCGCTTTGGGTCGGGAGCGCCTGTCGCTTCTGCAGCTCGCCGCCTCAATTCGCGAACGCTGAGCGTCCCATCATTAATGGCGTATGCCGGGAAATTCAACTCATATGCGTTCCTTTTGTGTTTAAGGAGAAGTGTGTCTGGCGCATTGTCGTCTTGATTTCCATATGTGCCTGCCGCACCATCGACGATGTAACTGTAATCGCTATCGCTGACTTGCGGCGTATTGGAGACCGTGGAATACTGTGGAGAGCGACGGAAGAGGTTACTGAACGGAGAGCGCCAGGACATAATGGCTACTGCTAGTGCGCAAGCAAGGATGGTAGCAGCAAGTGTAAGATTGTCGGCGGCGAAAGTGTTTTCGGTGATCCAAGTTGGTGGGGGCCCAAGGGAGCGCAAGGACAAAGGCGTTTCAGCAGAGATGGTTGCGACGAATTTGTCTTGAATGGTGTTGAGGGACGTGGGAAACTTGTTTTTAAAGTAAGTCAGGTAGAATGCACAAGTCTCGCCCAGAAAGGACTGAGAATCGTGCGACAGCAGTTGGGTCATCAATGAATTATGTTAAAAGAAGAGGCAAAAAAATGGAGCGGTGGACGCTGAGGTCATTAAGGAAGAAGCCCCAGCTGTCCTCTCAACTCCGAAATAGGCAAACAAGGCGGAGAGCCCAGGCGGACTTTTTGCCGCAGTCACTCCTCATTCAGTGGATCAGAACTTAGGCTACTCTACCCAGTATGAACTTGGGACGAGGTCAGGCGATAGTTGCCTGGCCTGAGTGAGCCTTGTTGGGAGATCTGGGTAATATGGGTGAATTCTGGGGTGAGTTCGAGAATGGGTAGATATTTTGCGGCAATACGGAGTAATATTCTTCTGTTCTACAGAGTACATGAATTAATTCCCCATATACCTCCAACTTTACTCTCATCTTTACTACAGTCATACTTTGCATATACTGGGAACACGGACAATGCATAGCTTGGTTACAATGGATATAATTGAGACACACAATTATAGTCACGTTTTCTATTTGGAATATTTCGAAAGAACTCGATGCAGAAGCTTTAGTGTTTGGTTATTAGTTAGTTAGTTATGCAAGGCTGTATGATTACTAAAGCCATCCCGTGCTACGCAGCCAATTTCCAATAAAGGAGAAAGAAAGAGCCTTGGCCTATGTTGGCCAATTATATTACGATATCTTTTTGAGTAATAGAAACTCCTATTGAGGTGTTGAGCCGAGCTTCGATACAATAGTGGTAGCAGTGGTATTCATAGCATCTGTCCAGTCAAATTGGAGGTTAGAGTGGCAGAGTAAGTGGCAGAGTAAAGAACTACTACTAAGGATGTGATATACTAAGCAATTTCAGATGTCCTTATGTGGTTGGCAATGGGATATCACTCCACATTGATAAGCAACAGGTGAAAGCTACAATAACGCATACCTTTGAACCGTTCACATTTTCATGTGCAATGGTCGTTCTGTTGGACCACTCCTGTCAGTCTCTACATTTGAATGGCCATATGGTTTTGAAATTCTGTGATCGTCGTTTTGCAACAAGCTTTAGGGAAGATCAGAAAAGCAGCCCCTGGACTCCAGATATCGAACAGCAGTACCAGCAATTCGTCCTGAATGGTGACGCATCTGATTTCGTCGTCCGGCTCGACAACAGTGACGGGTTTGCTGAAGAAGAAGGGGATGGTTTTAGTATCGTGCAGGACGAGACATACCTCTCTACATGGATGCGGGACTTCTATGAGACAGAAACTGAGATATACAATACCTTGAGGGATATCCAGGGTGAACACGTCCCTCAACTATTCGCATGTCTTATATTGCATGGATCATCCTCAATGCACGAGGCTTTGTCTACCATCGATCTGCTTCGTATACAAAGCTAGATGACGACTACAAATCAGAGAACTGAATGCTGTCAATACAGCCTCCTTAAAGGACATACTTGATACTATTTGATATAGTAAATGGTATCTGGTATGATATATTATGATGAACGCCATGGGTTTCATTATACAGGTTTTTTAAATCCCATATAGAATATTACATGCCCATTTCCGACCGCTCTCATTGCTCGATTAAGGTCGGATTCCAGACTATACTTCCCAAACACGAACCATGACCTCTATGCAACGCACCAATCCAAAGACCTTGCTTAAACAAAGGCTGGTACATCATAAAGCCACCAGAGACTTTGGCTGTAGAATATGTTATTATATTGAGTTTCTAGTGTGCTCTGCCTTGGTGATCTTGAAGCGTTTGCTAAACGCCATTGTTGTCTTACTATGTCAACACGTACTCACACGATGTACACGACAGTGAAACAATTTTTACGAATGACTTCTGACCTTGGATATCCTACCATACGCTATCTTATATAGTGAGGCACGAAGCCATCCAGAATAGTAGAATTTTGATAGCTTGTCGCGGCATTATCAAAGCTTGGATGGATAGGTGTAGGATCCCAAGGGAATTTGCTTTACCGCTTACGTTCAATTCCTTTTTCTGATTCTTTTATTTTTATATTTCATTTTATTTTGGAGCATCTGCAAACGGAGGTGTTCCCAGGGTCAGCTCCTCAAAAAGAATACAAAGGAGGCACTCGAGTATATATACGTAAATTTTGAACTTATGATACAGAACTGTCATATCTATTTCCAACGTCTTCGTCATGCAAATTGGGAACTTAAGCCACTATGGCGAGTCTTCACAGCCTCACCCCACCAGGCGCTGGTCGACCACCAAACCATCTGGCGAGCCCATTATTGCCCTCGTTGCCATCGCTTCCCATCCACCGTGGAAGTCGGAACGAATCACCCTGCAACCATTGAGGTGTACTAGCAGTTTCGAACGTGTTTTTCACCCGGTGAGCAAACGATTGGAAAAAGTTTTCGTCATCCTCTTCCTCCGTCACTACAGTGGAGGCGGTGGCGGCTCCACGGGATGGTCGTGAAGGTCGGGTAGCCTCACCCCGAGGGGTCCGCGACGAAGAAAAAGCATTAGTGCCTTCTTCAACACGGCTAGAAGGCTGAGGAGATCGATCACGAGCAGATAGTGATAGGGACCCAAGGCCGGTGAGTTCCCGCTCGATCAGATCACGACCTTCGCGCCAGCCTCCTAGACCATAGCCACTGGGATTGTTTTCCAAATCTTCGTCCTCCTCTTCCAAGAGGCCAAATCCACAGATATTCTTCACCCGGCCATAGAGATTGAAAAGGGTAGCACAGACCGGCGCGAGAATGAATATAGGAAAGAAATAATCAAACCCTTTTCCAAGCGGTGTCAAGTCAATGGACCGCCCAAGAAAACGGTAAAACGTAGTGTTCTCCCTGGCACTCATCGGCAAGAACGTTACAAAGTTGTATGCGATCGGCACAGTAAGCCTAGCAACGAGCCCCGCATACCAGCAAGCGCTTTCGCCGTACGTGTTGCGGCGAACCAGAGCGCGATTGCCCCATACTTTAGCATCGTTGACACCAACTAATGCAGCCCAGCACATGTACAACAACCAGGTAGAAGCGGTCACTTGTCTTCCGAACCCTACGGGTGCTGGGTCTTTGTGATAGGATACTATGGAGAGAGTCACAACTGACAACCGGGGCGCCAATGACTTAATCAGTTCTGACCAGATAACACACACAGATGCAGCCGCAAAAATTACGCCGAAAAGCAGCCGGACGCTCGGGATTACGTGGACGTAGAGATGGTGCCGCATGTAGGGATTCAGAATCTTCTGACGTGCAAAGAACGTTGCGCGGTGGGGGGCGTGACCAAACTCGAGCTTCTTCGATGCAGACGAGTTGATGATGGCTTGCAAATCGGCGGCGGTCAGTACTAAACGATCCCACTCGTCGATAAAGCGGGCCTTTAGATGCCGAGCGCGCTGGAGCCGTCTCGTAAGATCTGCCATATAACGCTCTGTAATGACTGATGGGATCGTACTTGACACATCGGAAGGTTCAAGAAGTGCAGTCCGTTGCTCGGAGGAATAAGACGTCTCAGCCAGGTCTTCGATCCAGTCCTTGAACTCCAGAGCACTGCCAGTCTTGCGTCGCTGTAACTGAGAGACTTGTGATTCGAGACTCTCAAGGTCGGTGATCGCATCCATCAGACGGTCGTGCAACCGGGGCGCATGAGCTTGGATTCTGCGCAGCCGACCGCTCACGTTTGCATTGCGGAACAGAGTACGAGGTATAGAAACAAGGCCATGACCCATCAGATAAATCGCAAGGACAAGACCCCATACGTATGCGAGGGCCATAACCAGTGCCTTTATCGACGTAAACTCGAACCCATTTTGAATTGATATGTAGATCAATCCCACAACCGCACAGCACAACACAATAAGTTGATATCGGGCGTTGGAGCGGAGGGAGTATTCGATGCGACCTTTCGGCTCGCGGTAGCCGGAGTCGACATATTCACCAAGCAATGGTAGAATAGCCCTTTAAGATGGCCGGATTAGTACTGAAAGAACATGAAAACCTTACAATTGGTCAAATGAAGCACATATGTAGTACATACCAGGTTAGCACAAAGATTAACCAGTAGGCAATGCGCCAGGATACCAGGATCAAACGGTCAGGCAACCAAATAGCCCTAGGTCCGCCATCATCACGCGAGCTCGACGCTAGATCGATCGGAACCAGGAGCACTACGCTAGCGGGGAGGGCGAGCGCAAGAAAAATGGGAATCGTGAGGTAGGCTGGAGTAGCTCGCAAGGTCAGGAAACGCCGTAGAAGGAGTAAGACAAGGATTGAGATTGCCAGGAGGGCAAAAGAAAAGAAAATATTAGAGCCAACAGAGATCGAAGATATGGAGATCATGGCGGTGATTCCGTGGAGTGTACAGACGCATACAGAAGGCGGAAGGGAAATTCAGGGTCTTGGACAATCAAGAGTAATTGTTCATGACGAGGGAAAGCAAGCCAACTAAAGAGCGACTATCAACTTGGCTAAAAATCGCAGACAGAAAAGGGCCGGAATTGTGTTCAGGGAAGGACACATGGAAGTGCAACGAGAGAAACGGGAGTTGGTTCCGGATTGAATGAACCCTGAGACTGTAGGCATGGACGGATCTTTCATTTCGTTGACGCGGATGATAAGGCCCACGGTGACGACAGCAGGGTCTACACGTGACATCACATGACAAGATGTTGCTTTTTCTGGTAACAAGCAGCCTTAACCCGGTCCACTTAGTGCAGGCATTGTATGTTACAGGAAGTCAGTCATGAGTGCCTCTGAATTCTGCTGAAGTAGTGAAGCTTCCCTCTATCTTACACGGATTGGATTCCTGAGCAATATTAGTATCTACGGGCGAGGGGTACCAATAAATAATAAATAAGGACCAGGGAGGGACTGACTAGAACGTAGTTGATGGAGCCTGTACCACCTTTGGTTTGGTCACACTACTAGGTATGTAAGGTCACGGGTACGGTACCCTAAGTACAGTACCTGCACGCTGTGGACTGATAGACTGCAACCAGCCTTCCCCTCAAAAAAAGAACAGAAAAAAGAAAGAGAAAAAAATTTAACCAGCTAATAATATTAATGCTTCTCACAGTACTCCGTACTCTGTGGTATATGATACAACCATATCGGTGATCATTGATCTGTTAGTAAGAACCCTCCACACCCTTGGTTGGCGATCAAATGAACTTCACATAAGGTGTATAATTATAATCGTCCTTCTCATAAATAAGAAGATAAATTATAAAACTCTTTTTAGATAAGAAAGGGGAATAAAAGAGAGGGAAAATAAATAAATAAAAATAAACCTAAAACTGAAAAGAGTGGGAAAAAAAAAAAAAAAGAAAAGAAAAAGAAAAAGAAAAGAAAAATTTGTCTGGGAACAACGCAAAAGTAGTATGAAATGGAAATGATCCAAATTAAAGTACCTGTGAAACCAGACGTCTTGGCTTGCCAGACCTTGCGTCCTCTCCACAAATCAGTACTCCAGTCTACACCAATAAAAGTCCAATCAGGATCCAAAAGAGTACGTATGTGAACAACGTACAGCTCAATAGATGCCCTACTCAGTGTACACCACTTGAACCCTATACCACTAGTCCGTGTACTAGGGACCGGACAAAGTCACTAAGGACTGCTGGCCCGCCTTTTGGTCTCCATCCGCTCCCGTCACTACGCCTCCTACTAACACTAACTAGACTAACTTCGACCAGTAACGGGCAGATCCATAAAGGTCTGAAAGTCTAGTACCTGTTAGTCTCCCACACTAACCCAGGCCTGAGGCCACCATCACCACCTGCCTGCGGATTTTAGACTTTCCCTCTTCTTCCCAACTGATCTTCAGTATCTTCTACTCATCTCCAGGTCAAATCAATTAATTCAATCTTTCCCTCCCCTTGTTGGCTATTATTGGGGTTTCTATTTCTCCCATTATTGCATACTGGGGATTTTTTTTTTTTTTTTTTTCTTTTCTTGTTGCCCTTTTATTTTAATTTATTTTTTACCTTTTCTATTCTATATTCCTTCTTCGAGGGGTAACGTCCTTCCGAACTTTTGTTTTCTCGTCTCCTCTCGTTTTTCGCGTTCCTCTTTCTTGCGACTTTTCCCCCTCTCTTCTTCCGGACCTCTTCAACAGCTGACGGTCATCATTTCTTCCATGCCACGGGACCGGAGATCTCATTGCTTGTTCTGTAAGCCCACCCTCTTCCAACTGCTTTCTACTCCCCCTCCCCTCTCCGACCGATCGTTCTCCCTTCGGTGCTTGTGTCCTATTGACCGGTGGATACCTCTATCATTGGTGTCCTTTTTTTTTTTTTTTTTGGAAACATTTTATTGTTTCTAGCGGTGTTGAAATTACGTTCGCATTACGATCCGTCTGACCCAAACCTTTTCAGATTCACCTTAATCCTTTCTTTCTCTTTCCTTTACCTATAACTTTTTTCTTTTCTTTTTTACTTTTTTCTCTCTTTTGATTTCGAACCTCCTTACCATTCCTCAAATTCTTCCGGGGCGGATCTCATAAACTGAAATCGAACGCATCCGTTCTGCAACGACAGGCGTCAGTGCGACATCCCTGTCAGTGATCCAAACCTTCGCCGGCTTAGTGTTCCCCCAAAGCCACTTCCCGGCTCCTGCCAACGAACCCGCTTTGACTGCACGCTGGTGCCCGAACGCCTTGTTTTCCCTGTTGTGTTGGTCTCCCGTGTTCTTGCTCTCTCTCTCTCTCTCGCTCGCTCGCTCGCTCAACGCTCTCTTTGTCCTATTGCTATCCTTCCCTGCGCTTGATTCTTTTTCGTATCTCAGCGCGCTCAACCTCCGTACAGTGTTGCGTCCCACCGCGATTCACTTCTCGGAGTTTGGACCTTCAGTACTTGCCTTCCGCATCCCACCACTACTCGCTTTCCCCACCATCCTAAATCACGCCACTAAAGGAGTTTTGATACTGTCGATACGGGCATAACGCATCGCACAGGGTGAGGGTTGGTGTTCCCACCAGCGAATGCTGACGTCAAAAGAAAGCTTGCGCGGACTACTCCTCGATCCCCATTAAGGGGGGGTTGTTGACATGAATCCCGCAAATTTTCCCAATGTCGGCGGGGGCATGCCTGGCGGAGGTAATCCGCATGGCCAGATGCAAGTTCCGCAGCAGAAGCCGGATAATCAGATGATGATGAACTATTTGGCCCAGGCATTGCAGTCTCAGGGTTCTTTCACTGGTTGGAGGGCCGATGTTTCTCTCAAGGAGCGGGCTGTTAATGTATATCAGATGTAAGTGGCCTGCGCCATGTGTATGGTGATGGATCGGTCACTCGTGCTAGTACTGGCCTGCAAGACTATCGTTTTACACTTTCTATCCTATTGCGCAGGCTGACAATTCACTCACAGGTGGACATCCCTTCGTTTAATACAACCGCATGCCGCTCTACAGAGCTTAGCACAGGCTGCTTTAAGTTTTGAGCAAAAGGCTTTTAACAATGCAAAAGAGAAGGTATGCTCTCCCATTCTTTTACGTATATAGCGGTCCATTAACTGTGGAAATATTAGGTCGATTACGATAAAGAATGCAACGACAAATTGGTCCATATTCGAGATACTCGGGCTAGGCAGGCGGCTGTATTACAACAGAATGGCGGCATGATGGCTCAATCCGGGCACGCGGCGGGAATGGCTGGTGTTGGACAGGCAGCGTTTCCTCAACAGATGGGTCGTCCGGCACAAGCTTCTCCAATGTCTGGACAGCAGCAGATGGCTATGGGGATGAATGATCCGAATCGTCAGGCGGCTATACAGCATCGGCAGCAGCAGCAGCAGCAACAACAACAGCAGCAGCAACAGCAATCGCAGGCAATCCTTCAACAACGAGTGCAGCAAAGGCCGAGTAATGGTATACCTCTGACGGATGATCTTAGCACACTTTCGGCTCAAGAGTACGAAAACGTTTGCCGGATCGCCAACCAAATCTTATCGAAGACTTCTCAGGAAGATGTGGACAAGATTAAAATGAATCTACAGAACATGACTCCCGAGCAAAGACAGTACCTTAACCGGAAGAATATGGATCCCATCACGTATTTCTTTCGCTCCCAAGCATTGACTCAACTCAGAAGACACAAACGAGCCCGACAGGAAGCGCAGCAACGTGCGCAGAATGCAGGAGTTGATCCTAATAGTGCGATGATGGGTGATCCCATGATGAACGCCCAGCAACGCCAAATGTTCCAAAATATGATGAATCTTCAGCGCAACTCATTCTCGATGGGAAGCCAACCGAATTTGGATCCGTCCTCATTTATCGGCAACGTTGAAAATATACAGGGACAACAGGCGGATGGTTTGCGCTCCCAGGAAGCAGGCCAGCTTGTGGTGCCTGCTAGTTCTTCCCAGATGAACCAACAGCCGTTCACAACGCCTCAGAATATGTTTCAAGTTGGCCAGACCAACCAGACCAATATGAGCGGTGCCGGCATTAGCCCTCAATTTTTCTCCCAACAGCAATTACAGACATCACAAAATCTCCAGCAAGATCGAACCCAACAGACACCTCAATTCCAACCACAATCGCAAGCACAAACGCAGGCCCAGGCACGCGCGCAGGCTGCTCAGAAAGCGCAGATGGCTATATCCCAAGCCGGTCAAGCCAATTCGCAAATGCAACAACAGATTACACAGCAAAGTCCCGCCATGCCGATGCTGAATCGTCCTATGGCTCCGGGTCAGATGTCACCGGCGCAAGTGGCAGCTCAAGTTCGGCCCCCATCACGGGCTCCTGGACAACAACCGAATGGGGTCCAGTCTCTCGGAGGACAAACGGGCATGCAGGGTCGGCCTCAAATTCCTCCTAACCTTCCGCCAATGGTTCAAGAGCAACTGGCTCGAATGACCCAAGAGCAACTAACCGCATTCTTAATGAGCCAGCAACGTCGCCCACTCAATAATCAAGCTATGGCGAGAGCAAATGCCAACCAGCAGTCCATGCCTATGCAACAAAACCTATCACAACCTGGTCAGGGTCAGACAATAGTGAATGGGCAGGCGGGTAATAATCAAAACATGCGTGCCTCACTGAATTTACAACAGCAGCTCGCAGGTATGGGTGGTGCACAAGCGCCCAATCAGATGCTCCCAGGGCAACAGCAAATGACAGCTCAACAACGCCAGCAGCAACAACAGCAGCGTCAACATGATCTATATAAGATGCAGCTGCTTCGCCAGCAAAGTGGAGGCTTGGAAATGTCCCCCGACCAGATCAAAGAAATGGATCGCATGCCATTCCCCCCTTCAATACTTAGCAACAACCCCAATGTTCCTTCGCCCGTCCCGAAACACATAAAGACTTGGGGTCAACTGAAACAATGGGCGACTGCAAACCCTCAAGTTCTCGGGGGCATAGATTTGCAGAAGTTAGTGACATTCCAGAAATTTCATCTGGCCCAGATATTGGCACAGAACAAAGAAGGTGGTCGGAATCCCGATAATGGTGGCCAAAATCCTTGGATGCAAATGCCTTTCCAGGGGCAGCCACAGCAATTCATGAACCAACAACAGTTCCAAGCTGGCCAACAACAGGCGCCAATAAACATGCCTCCAATGCGACCGATCACTGGGCAAGATATTCAAATAGCTCGTCAGCGACTAGGAGCTCAGGTGCAGAATTATACCGATGAGCAGCTTCGAGAGCTGCTCTACAGGAACCGACAGAAACAGTTAATGCAGCTCGCCCAGAACCGTGCCGCTCAACTTGCAGCTCAGCAAGGTCAACAGACCCAGTCGTCTCAGCAGCCTCCGGTCACCGCACCTTCGGCCACACCTCAGATCAAGTCTGAGGCCCAACACCAACAACCAACAACACAGTTAAACCAGCAGGTGCAAGCGGCAAAGACCCAGAATGCAACACCTGGGAAAGGCGTAAAAGGAGCTGCTGCTAAGCAACCGCCGAAGAGGAAGATGCCAAATGAAGAAAGCGCGGACGCTCAAAATGCCCCCGCGCAAAAGTCGGCGCAGCCTGCGACTTCTCAAGGGTTGTCGGGCTCCACGCCAGCACGACCTAATATGCCGTTTACTCGTGAGCAATGGGTTAATATGACACCACAGCAACGTGCACAGTTGGAGGCGCACATACGGAGGCAACAGAGCCAGAATCAAACGCGCGCTCCCATTTCGAGAACTGCCGCGGAAGAACAATGGAACAACCTCCCGGACAAGACCAGGCAAATGTACAACGAAATCTTGGCGCAAGCCCCACCCGCTGAACCTATCTCTGTTCAACCGGAGCAAAAAGCTCAAATGTCCCAGCAACTACGAGAGTGTACGGATATGCTGGGTAGGATGGATACACTGGTTCAATGGTTTTCCAAGATCCCTAACCAGGAAAAGAACGTAAAAAGCTTATTAGCTATGGTATGTCCACATTGCGTTTTCCCTATTTAATCGAGGGACTAATGCGCTGACCCTGTGCCATTTAGCGCATACAATTAATGAGGCAGTTTAAACCTGGACCTGACTGGACGATCAATGATCATTTTACTGTTACACCAGAGTATCTAACAATGACCACTAACTATGTTAAGAAGCTTTTCCAAGCCATGATCACGCGCGTCAGCCAACATCAAAATCAACCATCTGGACAGCGACCTAGTGTCTCTCAAGGGTCGACTAATGTGCAATCGTCAGCTCAGAACAACATGCCCGCCTTGAATGCAAGCAATCTCCAGCAACTTCAGCAACAGGAGGAGGCTATCCAGCGGGCTCGAAGGGCTTCGAGCCAGACTGCCGTCTCGGCAACTTCTGCCGTACCACCGGCACCGTTTGGCGCGCCGTCTCCTCAGGGAGTACCGCATGTTTATGGACCCGGTAGCATGCCCCCTCAGGAGCTAAAACTCCCTCCGCCAAAGAAGAGGAAGCAGTCTCACGCCGGGCCTATTACCGGAACAGCTGGCACCAAATCACCGGCAGCCAAACACACTGCAGCAGACGCCAAAATGGCTGCTACAGCTATGGTTGGTCCTTTCAAATGCAGTGCCCCACAATGTCAGCACCATTACCAGGGCTTTGCAACCCAGAACGCGCTGGACAAACATGTTGAAGAAACCCATAAGGTTGAAGAATCAATCGAAGACCCGCTTCAGTTTGCCCTTGACAGCTTCCGTAATTTGGTCAAAGAGGACAAGCCTTCACCTGAATCTCAGGCTCCGAAGAAGAGTGCTGGCAGTGCAACGGACACTCCGCAGGTGCCTCCTAAAGTGGGCATACCCTCACCCTCCATGAAGCAGGAAACAGGAACTACTCCAGTCACCGCGGGCGCCACCCCGGTAACACGCGTGTTCAGCCAATTCGGAGCGAAGCCAACTTCTCCCGCATCCAACCAGACCCCTCGTGGGCCATCAGCCAAGGTACCTTTGTCGACAACCAAGCCTTCCGGCAATAAGGACGGGAAGAAAGAGGCCAGCAAGGTGACCGAGCAGATGCCATCTTTGGAGCCTGCCACTGAAGACCCTTGGACATCAAGTGCTGTTTCTCTTGAGGCAATCCAGGATACGTTTATGGACTTTGGAGACGACAGTGGCTTTGGTTTCGGCCCCATGGATGAGTTCATTAACGCAGACATGTTCGCTAACACTCAGTCGAAAGATACACCGGATTCGGTTGAAACAGCCATTGTCACCCAGACACCTAAGGACAACGATCTGCCGAAAGTCGGAGATTTGGCAAGTAAAGGTGCGGAAGGCCTCGAAGACAACTGGATTCCAATGGACTGGATCAATCTTCCTGGTCGATTCGAAGATGGACCTCTCTTGAATGAGTCCTGGGAGGACATTGATTGGGACACCCTCGATCGGGGTAACGGAAGCATGACTGTTGACGATAGTGGCATCGCCATCTGTGCCATGTGAAACGGTGTTTTCACGAAAAGATAAAGAAAGAAAAAAAAAATTAAAATTTAATGACCCTGAGCAGGTGAAAGGCGCTGCGGCTTATCTCTTCGGCATAAATACGGATGACTTATGTATATTAAGACCAGGCCAATGTGTGAGGCCACTTGTTTATGCTTGTGATTTTGTTTTCTTTTACGTCTGTCACTCTTGTCTCTGTTACACCCTCGGACCACTTCGATTTCCCTGTTCATCTATAGTTGGCTTAGCCGTGGCGTTTCAAGGAGCGAGCAAAAGGTCATCTGTGAATTGTTGAAGGAGCCATTGTTCTCTTGCTATATTCGAAATCTTCAATTACCCCCAACCCCCTTGGTCTCTTTCCAGGAGACGGAGCTATCTATTGAACGCAAATATAATATCCACATCTTCAAAGTTTGGATGAAGAAACAAGAACATCCTAGTGAAAACCTTAGTAGAAGTTGACTATGGTCACGTAGGTTTGCGGCTGTTCCATGGAACGCGGCGGTAAGGCTCGATACTGGATGTGTAAGATACGGCGGATCCACGGGTCCACGTGCCAAGGCTCGGGGAATGATCAGCTGCTGATAAGGACGCCCCATCGCTCCCTCTCTTCTCTGATTCCTCACTCTTTGTCCTTCTCCAACAACCTTATTGTCGTTTCCGAGATGGGCTGTCAATAGAAGTCCTTCCTTCCCACCCTATATTCTTCATTCTGTGCTATAGCCCTAGTTTCTTAGAGAAGCATCTTGTCTACGACTTCTAAACTCCTCCGGATAGACACGGGTGCTTATCTTTCAGCCCCCCAAGCTTTGTCTCTCTCTCTCTCTCTCTCTCTCTCTCTCTCTCTCTCTCTCTCTCTCCCTCTCCATCTCTGAGACCCTTTGGTTCGACATATTCTTTTTAGGGCACCGTAGTGCCCCCCGAGGAATCATGGCGACCAAAGCAATGATCCCGTTTCTGGTCACGATGATGCTCGTGACCGGTGTCTGCAATACTATCCTCAACAAGTACCAGGTTAGATCCGTGCTTACCAGTTCCTATGATCTTCTTTTTCTGCTAAAACCCATGAACAGGATATGCAATGCGTGCGAAATTGTGATTCTCCGGATTCTAGTGATCGCCATCTCTTTGAGCAGCCTGTCATTCAAACGTAGGCGCTCTCATATCACCTGCTGACCCGTGCATCGACTTATGGTTTGATTCTACAATAGGATTCAGATGTTCATTGGAGAAATGGGTAGTTGGCTCGTGGTCCTACTCTCATATATTTACCAAACATTCATCTCACCGCGCTTTTCGAATCAATCATCCCCCCTTTTAGTCGGTGGCTATCACCCTGTAGCGAATAACGATGGTGTCGATGATGCGGTCGAGGATAATGCGATTGATGGGGATGGGTTCCCCAATGACCCTACAAAGCCCGCGCACGCGCATGATGGGCGTATACGCCTACATGGCCGGAAGATCTTTCTCCTTGCTGCGCCGGCATGCTGTGACATCGCAGGCACTACCCTTATGAACGTCGGCCTACTCTTTGTTGCAGCAAGCATTTACCAAATGACGCGTGGTGCGCTAGTGCTTTTCGTTGGTCTTTTTAGTGTTCTGTTCCTCCATCGGAAACTCTATCTTTATCAATGGATGGCACTTTTCGTGGTCGTCCTGGGAGTTGCACTGGTAGGTCTTGCGGGTGCCCTCTTTGGTGACAGCCAGAACCACGATATCACACGAGAGGATGCCATGGCAGCTGTAGCACACGTCTCGATGCAAGCCCGCGCTCTTGCAAAGACCCCTGAAGCAGTTCAGGCCATCATCGGTGTTCTCCTTATCGCCGCAGCCCAGATCTTTACTGCCTCGCAATTCGTGCTGGAAGAATGGATCTTGGAACACTATGCTATGGATCCTCTCCAAGTTGTTGGTTGGGAAGGCATTTTCGGCTTCTCTGTGACTGTCATCGGGTCGATCATCTTATATCTGTCCGTAGGCCGCACGGAAGCTGGCCGCTATGGATACTTTGATGTCAAGGAAGGATGGCATCAGGTATTAAGTAACAGAGCTATCGCTATCTCCAGTGTACTGATTATGATCAGTATTGGGTAAAGCCACACCCTTTGCCTCCCTAGGACCTGTTGATAGAATGCAAAAGCATTGGCTAACATTTGTCATTTTACAGTGGCTTCAATTTCTTCGGCCTCTCCGTTACCCGGTCCGTCTCTGCTACATCTCGCAGCACGATTGACACTTGCCGAACACTCTTCATTTGGCTCGTCTCATTGGCACTCGGATGGGAGTCCTTCAAATGGCTTCAGGTGGCCGGGTTCGCATTGCTCGTGTATGGAACCTTCCTGTTTAACGACATTGTACGCCCACCACTCAAGGCATGTCTTCCCCGTGAAGTGAGGGAGAGAGAATTGCTGCTGCCAGAGGAGCCGATCGAGCATATCTAAATTTAGAGAACGAGACATGCTATTGGCATCTCAACATCCCCTCGCCCATCGTTTGGCTCACGTCATCTTGCTTATCTTATGGTTACATGGTTGGTATAAATCATTGGCGTCGCAGGCTTTCCAGTCTTTATTCTGTCTGGTTTTTGGTCTTTAGGAATGGTCTCGTATTGTATAGATGAACCTGACTTGCTTTCTCGGGCTTGGTATGCAATTATATTTGGATTTATCAACGAACGTTGAAAGGCAAAAAAGGGGTGATAAAAATTATGACAACCCAGTCTACCGTTAATAACATACTCTAACATCGCAAAAATCTAAGTCCAGTAGCAACGACAGAACATTGGCACAAAAGGCAAATGACAAGTAGAAAGTCACCATCCTAGCCCCACAGAGGAAAGGCCCCCGCGATATACAATCTAAACCAGAGTATATAAATGTATATATATCGCCGAGCCGCCGTATATAGTACATATCAAGAAGTCTTGTAGTTTAATAGAGATGTATTTCTCTAAACGAGAACGTATAATGCACACATCTGCCAAAAGACATTTATGAGTTGAGTAGTATAAAATATGTGGGTGATGTACTTACACAAGCGAGACCGAAGATCATTGACAGCCAGAAGAATATATTCTATTGCATACGTTAGACGTGTCCATTTCTCTCTCTCTTTTCTGTTCCTTTTTCTTTCTGGTACGGTAGGGGAGTAGTTGGTGCTTACTCTAAGGATCGTCTTCCCCCTGAAGTACTTGGATTGCTGGACTGCCACAATAGGCAATTGGAGCATCATAGCGACGAATCCATAGCCGCGGAGTTTCTTGGTAATGCAGCTCATTACTAGCTCGTGGGCGATAGAGCTCACGAGGAATGTGATGAACATAGCGACTGACTGAGAGAAACGGGTCTTGGAGGGGAAGTAGACATGCCGGCGGAGGAAATGATGAACTGGAATATTCCACTCACGCGAGAATTCAAGCCTGGGCGACAATGTCAGTTAATCAGGCCCGGTGGGGATTTTGCATTCATTTTGTACACGTACCAATCGCATGAGTTCCACCAGTCTGAGTAGAAGTGACGATCGGCGAAACAGGTGATCTCCGCAAATGCCCCCAGCACATATTCAAAAATAACCAGGAAAACGAGTAAAAATGTGATCATAAAGGGAAACATAAGCATATTGATTGTTTCCGCGAGGATCAAGGCTTTATCCGCTGCACTCTGTTTCAAATGCAACTGGGTATTGGCCTCGCTCAGGACTGGGAGGATGAACTCTTCACTTGTGAGGGTCAACAGGAATATACACCCAAAGACGGCACACGTTTTCAGGCCGATCTCTGCCCATGATCGTTCCTTGCTGCGAGGATATTCCAACTCGTAGCAGAGGGTAGGGCAGAAAGTGAAATCGATGTAGTTGGGGAGTGTAAGGTTCTGCGGATAGGTGACATGGCCTAGCGGCGAGGTCAATTCCGTCGCCAAATCCTCGCGCAGCTCTTGAATCGATTCCGATCGTGAATGGCTACTATGCCGCTGCGTCGGGGGCCGACGGGGTGCTGGGTCAGGATACCGGTCCACAGTTGCATCTATTGACGCTGATCCAGGGTTATCGAGTGCGGACAAGCGGCGCTCGGTCTCGCTGAGATGCCCATTGTAAAATGCATAAGAGTGGACCTTCATCAAAAAGGTTAAGGTATGCAGAGTAAAGAACACCTGCGCGGTCCAGGTCCAGCGCAACATGAATGGCCAACTGATTGTTTGATTAGCTCTTAGTCTTGAGTGCAATTTATAGGCCGACTCACTTAATCCACAGGACTAGCCAAGCCGCTTCGAAAATGCTTTGTACTACCATGCCCCCTCTTTCCCATCGCAGCCATCCATTACTGTTCCTGTAAAGGCGATGGAGCGGCAAGACTGCTGCACTACTCACCACCATGGCGAGGTCGCTGAACCCCATTGCCCAGACATTTGCCGTCAGGAGACTCCACACTCTCACCCGCAGCGGGGAGCCGGTGTCCTTTACATTCCGAAGCGCTGTAGTGGCCACCATGATAAACAACCCAATCCAAAACAGTGTGAAGAAGCCGCGGAAGTTATGATAGTCGCTCTTCGGGTCGAAGTGAGATACGCGCGGAATATAATCAATGGTATAAAACAGTCGATTCCGGGCCCTAGCTTGCTTTCTAGCGTGCGATATGGACTGGATAGATGGAGGGGCATCTTCGGCGACAGGCGTTGAACGTCCACTGGGATGCAGCTGTTAGACTCGAGGGAAATAGCAGTCGGCTCAACGGTCTTACCTACCTCGAGTCAAGAGAACTTTTCTCCAAGGAGAGATTGGTAGGATCGTCGAGTTTCTTCAAGATGGCCCGTGGCCGCAATAGCGGGGAGCCATTGCTCTGTGATACTGCAGAAGACATCCTCGCGGAGTCAAGAGTGCTTAGATGTCATATACACTTTTTTCACATTGGTTCCGTGGAACTAGCAGAAGCGCTCTAAAGCAGAAGGGCCAGTCTAACTAAATATAAAATCTCTCAAGGTTTCGGTGAACAGACGGAAAAGATTGTCTCGAAGGACACTTGTACATCCAGGAGAAGGTGGATCCTTCGTCAGTAATAGTTGTCGACAAGGCAGACTGATTTGCGCAGGGACCAATTTTTAAAAGGGAGGAGATGGTCGGAGTCGCAGATCAGCCGGGCATCGGACCGTAACCAGGGTTTCCTATACCATTGGCATCCAACATTTGCAACGAATTATGCAGAGAACAAGGCAAACCAAACGGAGATCATGGGGGGCCGTAGAGCCTCTGAGTAAGAAAAGTTGCGTATTTCTGTACGGAGTAACTGGAAAACCCTCACGTCATGCCGGCCATCTGATCCCGGACCTCGGAACCGCGGTATCGCCGAAGTACGTACCTGATAGGGCGGTGCGGACGGGATAACGATACGAATACGATACGGAATACATCGTTGATGGCCTGTAGTTTCAGGCCGTCAAAGATATCTAACCATCAGATCACGTGGAGACGCCCACCGGCACGAGGGGCCCTAGACTCAAAGGGGGGAAGCGCCAAGACGGACAAGTCGCAAAGGACGGGCGAGGCTCAACCTACCGACGCCGTTACTGCTACTATTATTGTTTAGACGCTTTTCATCTGGCCCTGGAGTTGCGTGGACTGGTTTCTTCGCATTGCTCTCTTCTCCCCCGTTCCTTCTTTTGTCCCCCTTTAGTTCATTTCTCTTCTTGATACCCCGTTGGGGGTCCCTGTGGCCGCCATGACATCCCGTAAGTCGTGTCCATTGCTAATGGAAACCCCCCACACTGGCATCCCCTTTACCTGGCAACTTAGTTGCTAACCATTCTTTCTCCGCCGCCCAAAATTAATAGTCAAGCAATTCATTCGAAATGTACGATCCGCCAAGACAATCGCCGATGAACGGGCGGTGATTCAAAAAGAGAGTGCAGCCATTCGTGCGTCGTTCAGGGAAGAGAGCCATGATTCGGGCATACGGTCAGCCATCTACGCATTCATCACCTGAACCGACATCTCATACCCACTGACAGGAGAAACAATGTTGCCAAATTACTTTATCTTTTCACCCTTGGTGAGCGGACGCACTTCGGTCAGATCGAATGTCTGAAACTGCTGGCGTCCCACCGCTTCGCAGACAAGCGATTGGGATACCTGGGAACTATGCTGTTGCTAGATGAGAATCAAGAAGTGTTGACACTGGTGACAAACTCGCTAAAGAAGTAAGTGCTAATCTGAATGGATAATGCGCTTCATGGATCTTTCCAGCTAATATAACGCAGTGATCTTAACCATTCTAATCAATATATTGTCGGACTTGCCCTTTGCGCCCTGGGAAATATCGCCTCCGTCGAGATGTCCAGAGATCTCTTCCCGGAAGTCGAGTCTCTGCTTTCTACCGCAAATCCATATATCAGGAGAAAGGCGGCGCTGTGTGCTATGCGGATATGTCGCAAAGTGCCAGACCTGCAGGAACATTTCCTAGAGAAGGCCAAGACTCTCTTGTCGGACAGGAACCATGGCGTTTTGCTATGCGGCTTGACCTTGGTAATAGACATGTGCGAAGCGGAGGAGGCTGAGGAAGGACAGGAAGGCGTGATCGAGATGTTCCGACCTCTGGCTGGGGGCCTCGTACGTGCTCTAAAGGGATTGACAACCTCCGGATACGCTCCGGAACATGACGTTTCTGGAATCACAGATCCCTTCCTTCAGGCCAAAATCTTACGTCTCCTTCGAGTACTAGGAAGAGGAGACGCGGCAACAAGCGAACTGATTAACGACATTCTAGCCCAGGTGGCTACCAATACTGATTCGACAAAGAACGTCGGCAACGCTATCCTCTACGAGGCCGTCCTCACCATCCTTGACATTGAGGCCGATTCAGGCCTAAGAGTCCTGGGTGTCAACATCCTCGGAAAATTCCTCACCAATAAGGACAACAACATTCGTTACGTTGCCCTTAATACACTGAACAAGGTAGTCGCGATCGAGCCCAACGCTGTGCAGAGGCATCGCAACACCATCCTGGAGTGTCTCCGTGACCCCGATATCAGTATCAGAAGGCGAGCCCTTGACCTGAGCTTCATGTTGATCAATGAAAGCAACGTCCGTGTCATCATCAGGGAGCTTCTTGCTTTCTTGGAAGTCGCGGATAACGAGTTCAAGCCTGCAATGACTACTCAGATCGGAATTGCTGCCGATCGCTTTGCGCCGAACAAACGCTGGCATGTCGACACAATTCTTCGAGTCCTCAAATTGGCTGGTGCCTATGTCAAAGAGCAGATTTTATCCTCGTTTGTGCGGCTCATTGCGACTACCCCAGAATTGCAAACCTACTCCGTGCAAAAGCTCTACATGTCGTTGAAGGAAGACATCTCGCAGGAGGGTCTCACTCTTGCTGCAACTTGGGTCATTGGAGAGTACGGCGACAGCCTTCTTGAAGGTGGTCAGTACGAGGAAGAGGAGCTAGTCAAGGAGGTCAAGGAAAGTGACCTCGTTGATCTATTCAACA